AGGGGGGAGAGGGGAGTGGGGCACAGACGTGCCTGCTGGTGGTACCCAGGCAGCTCAGACACGTGGTCCAGAAGGACCGAGGGGTGGGCTTGTGTGGCCGGGCTGTGGTCCTCACAGCACCCGCTGGAGGTGGGCTGATGATGGGCAGGGAGGCAGCCTCATGGGGTCTGAGTCTCAGCAGAGTTATGTGTTACCCTCCCCGGGGGGAGACCGATATGTGGACACCTTGTTGCTCCAGCACCTCCCCACCCCAACTTCTTGGAGAGCCGCCCACCCGTCTCAAGCGTGACCTTGTCCCCGCAGTCCCAGAGCTCCTCCTATGCCCACCTCTCTGCCAGCTCCCCTGGCTCCGAGCTGCCGTCTCCTCGGTGGAGCTGTAGTTGATCACCTGGTCGTGGGACGCGGCCCAGGTCGGTTGTCTCATTTTTATTGTGGCATAATTTATCTGCGGCTCAAGGCACAGATCTTAAAGCATCCAGCCTGAGGAGTTTTGACAAATGCACCGTCTGTGTAACCTGCATGCCACTCAAGATGGAGATGATTCCCGTCACTCAGATCCCCACGGGCCCCCTCCTGTCAACCCCTCCCCAGAGGCAGGCCACCTCTGTCCTACTTTCTGCGGCTGCGGCTGAGTCCTGTCTGCTCATAGCTTCATAGATGCATTTCCCTGGTGACCAACAATGTTGAGCCTTTCCGTCTTATTGGTCATTTATAAATGTTTTCGTGGAGTGCTTGTTCTTTTTTTGATTTTTTAATTATCAAATTGTAGGAAATCTTTGTGCATTTTTTCAAAAGACTTTTTAAAGCAATTATTCCTAAATTGTAGTAAATCTTTGTGTATTCTGGATATAAATTTCTTTGTTGAATATAGGTGTCACAAAGTTTTCTCCCATTCTGTGGGTTTCCCGTTCATTGTTTTAACTCTTCATTTTGTATTTGAGTAGAGCTGATTAACAATGTTGTGATAGTTTGGGGTGAACAGTGAAGAGACTCAGCCGTACACATACATGTACCCATTTCCCCCAAACTCCCCTCCCATCCCGGCCGCCACGTAACCTTGAGCAGAGTTCCCTGCGCCGCACAGCAGGTCCTGGCTGGGGACCCATTTAAAATACGGCAGTGTGTCCACGTCCATCCTCAACTCCCTAACTACCCCTTCCTCCAGCTCTTCCCTCCTGGTAACCGTTAAGGTGAGTTCCTTCTCTAAGTCTGTGAGCCTCTTTCTGTTTTGCAGACAAGTTCACTTGCATCATTTCTTTTCACATTCTACATATAAGGGGTGTCGTGTGATATTTCTCCTTCTCTGTCTCACTCACCTCACTCAGTATGACAGTCTCTGGGCCCATCCATTGCTACGCATTTTCTTCATGATATATTTCAAACAGTGAATGTTTTAAATCTTGAAAAAGCCCAGCGTATCAGTTTTTTCTTTGCTAGCTCTTTCTGTGACCTCCCTAGGAAGTCACTGCCTACCCGAGGTCACAAGAACAATCCCGTATGTTTTCTTCTTTAAGCTCGATGATAAGTTTTTGACTTTTACATTTAGGCTTATGTTCCATCTTGAATTAATTTTTGTGTGGAGTGTGGAATTGAGGTTGAGATGATTTTCTTTTTAAATAACGTCTTTACAATTTTTTTTAAATTATGTTTTAGCTGCAGCATGCAGGATTCCAGTTCCCCGACCAGGATTCAAACCCGTGCCCCCTGTAGTGGAAGTGTGGATTCTTAGCTCCCTGGGGGAGCTCCAGGGACATCCCCCCTTTTCTTTTTCTTTTTTTTTTTTAAACATGGAGAACCAGTTGCTCTGGCAATACCTGTTGAAAAGACTTTCCTTTTTCCATTGACTTGCTTGTCATCCTAGTTGTTTCTTATTAAGTAAAGATGACTTCAAACGAGCCACTCAGTAAACTGGAAGCCGTTAAAAGCAGATTTCAAAAAGTGCTCTGTAATAGTGCCAGGCTGACACGCCTGCCCATGAAAGCCCTTCCTGTCGGGGAGGGAAGGGCGATGAGCCAGCTGGCGTGCCGTTCTGGGCCCTGGCCCTGGTTGCCCGTCCTGCTCATGGACGCCAGCAGCTTGGGGTGCAGCTGGGACCCGGCTGGACGTGTGGCTTTAGAGCAGACCCGCTGATTACACTGACTTCCTTCTCTGATGGATCCTGTAGTTTACCCAGGTCCATGCGCCCTCCCTGAGGTCTCCTGTTTAACTCAGTGCGGCATGGTCACCCCACGTCCTTGGTAAGCGTGGGCACACCGAGCCCTCGTTAAGGCGTGTGTCCAAATAGACAACACGTGCACGTGCTGGCTTGCACTTGAGCAGTGGAGCCGTGGAGGGCGTCCCCCTCGTCTGAGGCCTGAGGTATTGACTTGCTTGTCATCCTAGTTGTTTCTTATTAAGTAAAGATGACTTCAAACGAGCCACTCAGTAAACTGGAAGCCGTTAAAAGCAGATTTCAAAATGTGCTCTGTAATAGTGCCAGGCTGACACGCCTGCCCATGAAAGCCCTTCCTGTCGGGGAGGGAAGGGCGATGAGCCAGCTGGCGTGCCGTTCTGGGCCCTGGCCCTGGTTGCCCGTCCTGCTCATGGACGCCAGCAGCTTGGGGTGCAGCTGGGACCCGGCTGGACGTGTGGCTTTAGAGCAGACCCGCTGATTACACTGACTTCCTTCTCTGATGGATCCTGTAGTTTACCCAGGTCCATGCGCCCTCCCTGAGGTCTCCTGTTTAACTCAGTGCGGCCTGGTCACTCCGCGTCCTTGGTAAGCGTGGGCACACCGAGCCCTCGTTAAGGCGTGTGTCCAAATAGACAACACGTGCACGTGCTGGCTTGCACTTGAGCAGTGGAGCCGTGGAGGGCGTCCCCCTCGTCTGAGGCCTGAGGTTGCAGAGGGCAAGCCGCGGCCACTGTGTCCTCACCCGCTGACTGGTGTTGGCAGACACGGCATGGCGGGAAGACCGCGGGCTTTGGTCTTACAGAGGGGACCTCGAGTTCTCGCTCTGCTCCCCGCCGCCCGGAGGACCCTGGGCCTGCCCTTGGCCTCGTGGTCTCAGCTCCCAGGGGGACGCACCGTGGTCCCTGCTCCGTGAAGGAGGGGCGGGCCCCCAGCGGGTGTGGCGATGGCAGCGGTGCTGGTCATCACATTGCACGAAGCGAGTCGTCTGTCCCCAAGTTGCGGAGTGCCGATCATCTCAGGGATTACATTTTCTTTCTTCTTTTTTCCTTCCTCACTATTCTCCTTTCTCACTCCCATGAAGAAGTCAGGAGCTGGGCATCCCCAGATGCCCCTGGTAGGCGGGCCCACCTTTGGCAGGAGCGCCGATACCCAGAGCAGAGTGAGGGGGTCACACAAGCTCCCGGGGCTAAGGTCTCGTGGAAACAGAACAAAGGCCTAGGAGCAGAAGGAACCTGGCACCCCATTTAGCTGCAGCTTCTGAATCTGGGGGCAGCTGGCTCAGGTGAGGCCTCCCCCTGCCTGGCATGGTCCTGGTTAAGTCCCCTCATGAGAGGGCTGCCTACATCTCATCGAGCGTTGAGAAGAACGTTCAGGAAAGCCCTCTGTAAGACCGCCCCACCGCCACCCCGAACGTCACCCCTCCCTGCCCCCGCGCAGTGCCTGGCCCCAGACATCTCTGAGCTTGGGTGGTTGGCCAATGAGCAGCACCATGTTTTCTGAGCGTTACCCCTCAGCTGATTCGTGGGGAGCATTTCCATGAACGCCTAACTGGTTTGGGGGCTCACAGGGATCCCAGGTCGGGTCAGGAATGTCTGCAAGCAAAGGTCCCCGGAGGAAAGGTCACCAGTCCCGCGGGGCACTGCCCGCGTCCACTCCTGGGCCCTGGCCCGCGGCTTGGCAGGGCTGGGGTGCAGCCTGCACTAGATACCCTTCAAAGTCCATGGGAGGCGCCCCCCAGATAACAGGGCAAAATGACACGGGGACCGTGCCTCCTGCTGGAGCGCCTGCCTGTCCAGCTGCCAGCTGCCAACGGGTGCGCTCATCAGATATTTATCCTGGCACATGCAGCCCTCTATCAGCCTCCAGCATCATGCTGGGGAGGGAATCTGATTAGAAAACTGGTCAGGAGTGGGGCAGGCAGACTACAGAAGCGCCGGGCATGGAAACGGGTAGATGTCACAGCCCCACAGTCCCCCATGATGGTCCTCTCGGAAGCAGAGGCCACAGGTCAGGAAGCAAAAGCTCCCGGGCTTCCAGGACGGGTCCCACCAGGTCACGGGCCGCCGAGCACGGCGGCCAAGGCTCCAGCGCCCCCCAGGGGACAGGAGGCAACTCCACCCAGGCCCCGGGGCCAGAGGCTGGGCTCCAAGCCCCGCCTGTGAAGAGGAAAGACAATCCTGTCTGCTGGGGATGCTAGTCTGGCGTCTCCTCCACACCCCGTGCTCCTGCCCTTGTGGAACAGAAGGAGGGAGATAGGCTGGGAGCCGATGCAGGAAAGCTTCCTGGGTCTGCAGTCTGTCCCTTGGTGTGGCTTCACTCATTCCAGGGCAGGAAGAGCTTGTCGGGCAAGAAATCATGTCTGGTGTTTACACTTTAGTGGAATCCAGGGACTGATTAAGCGCCCCGAGCGTCCACGGGCAAAGCGTTTCTAAAAGGAGTGGAAGGTCGCTCTCCCATTACTGTGCCTCCCCTGTTTCTCCCAAATAAAAGACAAGCGTCCTGTTCACAGGTTCTTGAAAGCAATCCTTTATTTTCTGAGAGTCCTGGAACCGACCGGTTTATCGCAGGATGACGGATGCCTCAGTCCACAGATGGGATCCTTCTCTCCTTCACTTAGAAACCCTGGAGCCCTGGGAAGCGGGGCCTCAAAACCTGCCCTCGACGCCCAGCTGCCGCACGGCCGCCTCCTGCACGGCCTGGTGGATGCCCCCAACCTCTCTCTGCGACAGCGTGCGCTCCATGTGGCGGTAGGTGATGCGGTAGCAGTGGCTGGTCCTGTGTGTCCTGCGGGGTGGGAGAGAAAGGCAGGTGTGAGTGCAGGCAGGTGTGGGTGCAGGCAGGTGTGAGTACGGGCAGGCGTGAGTGTGGGCAGGTGTGTGAGTGTGGGCATGTGTGTGAGTGTGGGCACGTGTGCGAGTGTGTGAGCGCAGGCAGGCGTGAGTATGGGCAGGTGTGGTGGACACGGGCAGGTTTGTGAGTGCAGACAGGTGTGTGAGTGTGGGCACATGTGTGAGTGTGTGAGCGCAGGCAGGCGTGAGTATGGGCAGGTGTGGTGGACATGGGCAGGTGTGTGAGCGCAGGCAGGCGTGAGTGTGGGCAAGTGTGGTGGACGCGGGCAGGTGTGTGTGTGTGAGCTCAGGCAGGCGTGAGTGTGGACAGGTGTGGTGGACGCGGGCAGGTGTGTGAGTGTGGGCAGGTGTGGTGGATGCGGGAAGGTGTGTGACTGTGGGCAGCTGTGTCACCCGAGGGAGCAGCAGTGAGCGCCGAGGATGACACTGGACTGCCGACAGGTGACACAGAGCCCGCGGCCCCCACGAGAGCCGGTCGGCCCTTAACAGACTCTGGGGCAGGTGCTGGTGCCAGGAACCCCGACCGCCGGGTCCCCTGGTCTGACCCCTCCTCTGGTCTGAACCCCTGGAGACTGAGTCGGAGCTGGGGGGCCCGGGGCTCCCCGGGGACTCTGACCAGCAGAGCGGGTTAGGAACCTGTGGGCCCCGGGCAGCACAGACAGCGGTGCCCTCCCGTGTTGTGCAGACCACTCACCAATCCCTGCCTGCACCAGGCAGCTGTGAGCCTGACCCCACGGCACAGCCGGGGGACGCCGCAACACAGATCACGACAGCACGTCTGCAGCGCGGCAGCTGCCGACACTCGGGCGCCCAACACCTCAGCATGGAGGCCTGGGCACCAGCTGGCAAACCTGGGCCTCCCCCAGCCCCGGGTACCTGCGTCTCTCTCCTGAAGCTAAGCCACCAAACCCCTCCTCTCCAGCTGCGGCCAAGCCAGCCCTGGCGTCCCCGCGGCAGGTGATGAAGCTGGAGTGATGAGTGGTCCTGGGCAGGGCCCGGGGACGTCAGCCTGACACCACGTGCCATGTGCCCTCGGCCCAGACCCTTGAGCCAAGGGCCTCTGGTGGGGTGACCACTCCACACCCCCCGGCTGGTGGGGACATCAAGTCGTGCGCCCACTGGGCAAAGAGCTGAAGGAACCTGAAGGTCACACATCGACAGTTCTTCAATCGCTGAAACGCACCATCACCCTACGGCCCAGTGATTCCTCCCTGGGTATATGCTCAAGAGAAACGAAAGCACGCACCCACACACGAACCTGCACGTGAGTGTTCAGAGCAGCATCAGTCATGCCAGCCAGAAACTGGAAGCAACCCAAGTGTCCTTCACCTGGTGGGTGGATAAGCACTCTACCTCTGTGTGGAGTATTACGCAGCCATGAAGAGAAAGGACGTTCTAGCGCTACGAGCCAGATGAACCCTGAACACACCGGGCTTTAGGGAGAGACACCAGGCATGGAAGGTCACACCTTATATGATTCCAGCTAATGAAATGTCCAGAACAGGCAGGTCCACACAGATGGAAAGCAGATTCCTGACGGTCCCGGGCTGGGGGGTGCAGCTGGACAATGGACTGACTGCTAAGGGGGCCGGGTATCTACTGAGGGCAATGGAATGTCTGGAGTGAGATGGTGGTGAATATTATAAAAACCGCTACGTTGAACACTTTAAATGGGTGTATGATGTCTGAATCACGTCTCACTAAAGCCGTCCTACCAGAAGGAGAGACTCGGCCTGCGGGCCGCAGGCGGGCCTGTGCTGACGCCGAGCGCTCCTGGCGGGCTGCACACTCTGCTCTCCTGGCGCCCAGAGCAGTGTCTGGCATACAGCAGGCGCTGCATAAAAGCTGCTGAACGAATGCCTGTACAATCACCAGACCCTGGGGCGGCCGTCTGCGTTCAGGCCTTGTGGGGGCGGGCCAGCCTCGCCCTGCCCGCTGGGTCTCCCTGCCCGAGTTCTTCTCCTCCCTCCTCCCACTCCTGCCTCTAATGGTGATGGAGGCGATGCTGCCAGCATCCCGAGGGGACGGCAGAGGGGACAGAGGGTCAACACCAGGGTGCCCCAAGCTCTCGGCCTGCAGGAGCCTCGTCTCCCTTGTGCTTCCTGGTTCCCGGAAGCAAAGCCTCTGTGGAGCCCTCGGGGGACCTCAGGCCATGGCGCCTGATGCAGAGGCTGTGTGCTGGCTGCAGGAGGCTCCCTCGCAGCGGCCTCGTGGTGGGGCTGGAGGGGCAAGGCCTGACCTGCCCGGGTCTCCAAGCAGCTGCATCCCTGCAGAGGCGGAGCCCAGCTGGGCCCCGCTGGACAGCCCCCTGTGGCCCCTGGGAGACCTGCCCCCCTGCCCCCAGAGAAGAAGGGCGCTCTTCCCCTATCCTGACCTCAGCAGGCAGGGATGCTACCGGGCCCAGGGTTCTGAGACACGGAGGGGACTAGGAGAGGGTTGGTTAGTTAAGGAGGAGAAAAAGGGCAGAGGAACTGTGGGCTGCAAACGTTTACTAGAATAGGCATGGCGATGGGACCTGGGCCCAGGCTGTCAGCAGACGGGGCCCCGACGTGGTCAGAGGACAGTCTCCTGCAGGGAGGTGGACGCCCCTCCCTCCCCAATCACACAGGCCCCGTAAGCCTGGAGGCCTTGATTCTGGTGCCTAGATTCCAGGCTACGACACACGTCCTGACTCACAGTCTCCTCCATCGAAGGAGCAACACTGCAAACTCCAATGACCTTTCCCGACCACAGAGTAGATGCAGGCAGAAGGCGCTGGGGCCCGGAAACTCTCAAGATTCATGAGCGCAAGATGGAAGTGTCCTCAGGACACTGTTATTACATTTTCCCCAGGGTTCACGTAGGTCTCTGTCTTTCAGCTGAAGAGCTGGAACATAGACTCGCCGGGCTGAGATTTCCAACCAAAGACAAGTGGGAAAAGTTTTATCTCCTTGCTCCTGAGTGCTTCTGAGAAGACCCCTCTAAGGAATCTTGGGATTCAAACAGCTTTTATAAAACACTGTGATGAGCTGGGTGTAATGAATCATGAACATATGGATTAATTTTAAAAATTGAGAGAAACAGTGTTTGGCAGAATAGTTGGCGATAATTCAGTTGATTCGACTGAAAAGCAACCAGGTTTGCCTTTTCCCAGCGTCACTGGTGAGACACTGTTTCCTAGAAACTTGTATTTGGAGCTTTCAGACGGTGGACATACCTGGTCCTCCTTTTACTAGCTGGGAAACCTGGGCCCTGGTCTGAGTGCAGGACCAAATCTCCCACCCGAGGAGTGGTCCAGCCACGAAGACCACGGAGCTGAAGGGTCTGCACGGCCCAGCATGGAGCTGCTGAGACGATGGAGTCCCCAGATGGGAGGGACGCCTGGAAGGGCCAGCCCCAAAGGTCTGGAGCGGGCCTTTCTGATTCTTCTACATCCTCTTACTGTGGCCTCTTTTAGCTCGAAAGCTCCCCAGTCTTTCATCCGCCACGGCTCCCCCATCACAGAAACAACAGCAGACACAGAGGCAGCGCCTCTCACGCAGCAGGCGCTGCTCTCAGCCCTATACACCCACATCAGCATCACGGCCCCCACGGCCCCGCCGGGAGACCGCACCACTGTCCCGACTCACAGCCCGGGAGGCAGAGAGGGCACAAGTAGGGGCCACATCCACACAGCGAGTCAGGGCCGGACGCGAGGCCAGGCAAGGAGTGCAGCAGGGCAGTGTCTCCTCAGCAAGTTAAATAGAACTACCATGTGAGCCAGGCACCCGGAGCGACCACGTGAGCCAGGCACCCAGAGCGACCACGTGAGCCAGGCACCCGGAGCGACCACGTGAGCCAGGCACCCGGAGCGACCACGTGGGCCGGGTACGCGGAGCGACCACGTGGGCCGGGTACCCGGAGCGACCACGTGGGCCGGGTACGCGGAGCGACCACGTGGGCCGGGTACCCAGAGTGACCACGTGACCAAGGTACACGGAGCGACCACGTGACCCGGGTACACAGATCTACCACGTGGGCCGGGTACCTAGAACTACCATGTGACCCAGGTACATGGATCTACCATGTGACCTGGGTACACGGAGCTACCCGGAGCTACCCTAAGACCCAGGTACACGGAGCTACCCTGTGACCCGGGTACACGGATCTACCCTGTGACCCGGGTACACGGATCTACCACGTGACCTGAGTACACGGATCTACCACGTGACCTGGGTACACGATCTACCACGTGACCTGGGTACATGGATCTACCCTGTGACCCGGGTACACGGATCTACCCTGTGACCCGGGTACACGGATCTACCACGTGACCTGGGTACACAGATCTACCACGTGACCTGGGTACATGGATCTACCCTGTGACCCGGGTACACGGATCTACCATGTGAGCCAGGTACACAAAGCTACCCTGTGTACACTACCCCTGGGCGTGCACCCCAGAGAACAGAGGCTCTCAGAGAACAAACCAGTCACTACCAGAGGAGAGGAGGTAGGGGGAGGGCAAAACAGGGACGGGGGATGGAAAGGAGCAGACTGATGGACATAAGATAAGTAAGTGGTGAGGCTGGAACGCACAGCACAGGGAATACAGCCAATATTTTATAATCACTTTGTATGGAGGACGATCTACAAGAAACACTGAATTGCTGTGATGTACACCCGAAACTAGTGTCATGTTGTAAATCAACTTACGTCAGTGGAGAGAAGGTGCCGTGAAGCTCACGGCTGCTCTCCAGGTGACTGTGCTGGAGGCGGACTCTGAGGAACAGGGTCACCAGGCTCCCCTGGACGGGAGGGACGGTGGGGCAGACCACCTCCACCACCCACCACAGGGGTGACCCAGCTGCCCACACAGGCTCCAGACTCGAGGTCAAGTCCATCCTGGGATGCAGATGACAGATGAAATGTCTGCTTGTCCGTCAGTGAGGAGGGCAGCTCCTTCAGTTCTCTGGA